TTACTGGTTAATAAATGAACAAAAAACTCATTTGTTTTTTTCACCATTGTTAATCAGCTAAATCATCATTCTTTTATCTTGATAGATGAATTCTTCTCAACATAACTGTTCATATACACATATACACAGTTACAAAAGTCTACAGATTTTCTTATATTGAGATATATATGGACACTATTCATACATTTTACGTAAGGTGGTCTACACAAAGTATTTTGGCGCCATTATCAATATTCACTGTAGAAGGAATAATATGAAAACTGTGTTTAAATATTTGTTTGTGTATGTGTGTGATTATTTAACATGATATAAATTATATTTTCAATATTCATGTATGTATATAGAGAAATAGCCTTAAATAGGCGAAATGTTGGCGATAGATTGTTTACATACTGTCGTTTGATTTTTTGTACAAAATAATCCATTCAGTTACTTGAATCATAACAACAACAATTTTCATAATAATAACTATTGAAGATTATCTCCATAACTGAAAGAAAGCACAACATTTTTTCACCAAATATATATATATATATATATTTGCTGACATTTCCAGTTTTAGTAAATTTAACTAGACACTATGATATCTGTGAGTGTGTATATTGTGTACTGTAAAAAAAGTGAATACAAAGAAGCAAATGGTAGGTTCTGCTTATTCTTTTCCTACCCCCCCCCACAAAAATATATACATACATATATGTTTGAATTGTTAAAAAATTATTTCTTAAACTGACACTTTATGATAAATATGATGCTAATGAGACTGATAACAGTCATACTATTTAAGTTTGCACAAAATATTTTAGTTTTTTTTCTTTTTTAAGTTTTCATTGAATTTCAGTTGCTTTGGTGTCTTTTTTTTAAATTTTTTTTCGTATTTAAATTTCAGTAAAATAAATCTTTGTTACACAGTCAGACATGTAGGTGTATGTTTATATGTGTATAAATATAAGATTTGTTATATGTAAACCGAAAAGTTTCCCTAGTAAACTGGTCATTTGGATTAGATACTAATCATGATATCTTTTATATTTACATACTCATAGATTACTTTGAATCATTTAAAATGGAAATGATTTTGAATCGATCTATTGTATGCCATATAGCAACTATATAGTTACGTAATGATTTCTTTTTAAACTACTAATGATTAACTTTATTTTTAGTTTAAAACATCATTATTAGTTAACAAAATTTATAGCAAATTCTACCAAAAAGTGTATACAATAAGATGGTCAATAAAAGTAATGATGATAATAATAACGTTAAAGTCACTAATAACTTCTTTATTAATACTGTAATGAATGAGAATACTGATTGGGAAAACTAAATGTATTTTAGTATAATATTACAGAATATCTTGGTAAAATCTGAGAACCAGACAGTAATGCTTCATTTGCAAAATATCTATCAATTGTTGTTCCTTCGTTTTCGCATTAATCACTGTCTGTTCTCGTTCTCTTTGATTTTATTAACCTCCTGCATTCAGGCATTTCACTTTCGATTGGTGGTACACACTATTTATTTTTGTCGATATCAGTATCACACACCACAATACTACGTATTTGATTCTAACAAAGAAATATTGGAACAAACTTGTACATCTTTAAAGATTAGTTTTTCAACAATGAATGGCTTTCGTCTATCTTCAATGGGAAACCTCTCTAAATATTTTGCTCTTAACATTCTTTTTCATTACATAACATATTCGATGCATGAAATCTAATTTCATTTACTCCTGTTTTTTTAGAAAAATTTGATAAAAATAAAAATAATTTCGTGATGGCTCTGAATGAGTTATGGTGAGACAATTTCCAATAATATCTCCTTTTTAATTTTAAACTTTCTTAAACTTGTCGACCATTAATGAATATTGGAAACTCTCAGTACAAAACTTCTTCATAAATAATAGTAGATATGAATATAATTATGGACCATTACATGATATAGAACTTTGTGAAACAGCTAACCAAATGCAATGGTTTCATTATTATTATTATTGTTATGATTATTATTATTATTAGTAGTAGTAGTAGTAATGATGATGATGATGATGATGACAGTAATAGCAGTTTTTCGATAAAGAAATTAAAACGCTAGATTTTGTATAAATAGTTTATCAGAATTATAATACATGGAGAGAATTTGTTTAATGTTGTAAAATAACTATAAGTAATGAATAGTTTGCAAGTTATTCATCCACGATGAATCAACTCGTCAAACTCTTTTGGTTATTATTTTCAACTAATAAATTTCATTGTGTCTATATGTTTGTTTAACTTTGATTTATGAATAAGGACTTCCTTTCAAAATGGTTTTCTAAATGATGAGTTTAATTTTCTTTTTCTTTTATTTTTATTGTTAAGATAACTTCGTGAAATTTCTGTTCAAATTTAAGATAATCTTCACTATAAACTGGAGTTGACTGAAGAACTACTGAGAGTTACATAGAGACAATAACCTACTTCTTCTTAAATTAAATTTTTTTCAACGCTCATTCGAGATCCTAAACATGATTTAAAAACGAGATCTACATTTATTTTTTTAAGAGAAAGTTCGTCACTATTTCGTTAGCGATTCAATATATAATATTTGGTAATCTTAAGTTCAGTTGATTCACAATATAGAATAACTCTCATTATTAACAATTTACTTAAAATTTCAGTTAAGTTGATGTACTAAAACTGTCGTAAAATTTCTGAATTGGTTACTTCATATAAAGCGTCATACAGAGGTCACGTTTTTACCCCTCAAATTAGAGGATATAGCTCGATAAGCTTCGTGTTTGTCAAAAGGTTATGCTTTTTTATTGGAATAGGATTTAATTTCTTACAAAAGAGCAGAATCAATTGAGTGGCGTCTTATCCAATTATCTACTAGAGGATTTACATTTGATTGGTCACTGAGTATTGATCAGTGTCATATATGTTAAGTCTCTCTTTGTGCTGGTCAGCTGGGGTGTGGCCCCCTAAGGAAACCACGTGCTTCAGTTTGGGCACCTGAGCAGTATCACAGTCCTCACACAAATCAAATGAGATTTGTGTGGCGCATATTTATCTGGTGCTTCCTTGTACCAATATTTATGTGTATAAATAAAATAAAATAAATAATGATCAGCTTCTGTCGATCAAAGTCAGTCTCTGCCCGAATAGCTCAATGGTAACGTTTAAGACTGTGAAACTGGGTGAAACAGGATTAAACCCTCTAGGGAGTATGAGTTCCCACAAGATTGTAGGTATATCTTGTTGACGAGTGAAAAATAGCCCGACATCTAGGTTCAGGATTTCCTTTCAATTACCTTCAACCACCACTTTATATCTACTAGAAGATTTTGAAAGGAAGAAATTTCTAGTCTCAGTATACAATTCAAATTCGATAATCATGATAATTCTGTAGATAAATTAATGGTACATCTTTATTTGTTTGTACACCGATACAGTGATAAATAGATTTTAGCCAAGTCAACCGTAATGATAACAAGGTTTCTTCCAGAAACTATTCGATGAAGATTATGATTACTGACCGCTAATAAAGGTGTCAATGCCAAATGAAATATGCAAGTAAACGAAGTAATCAGCAGTTAAATACCGTTTTCATTGTGATCTACAGATAGATGACTGACCTTTAATTAAAATTCTATTGATAGGACAATTGGATAATTACAACATAAATCACTTGTGAGGAAGATGCGAACTATTCATTTTGAAGATAGTGTAGGAAGCTTCTACCTCATTTATGGTATACTATTTTCGTGAAGTTAATTGTCCAATTTCAGGTGGTTTAAACATGTCAAATGCTTAAGTGGAATTAGCTAGTAATCTACATTGATGAACGCTGTTTGCTGTCCAACGTTTTAGTTATATTGGTCTGTTTAACAATATTTGCACTCTTTTATCAGGCTTCATTCTTTCTATCGTATTCTTCCATTATAGATCATCGGTTTATATTTTTAACTCACTAACAAAATGTGTTTAAAATCATTACCTTAGTTACTTAAGTAAAATACATACATCAAATAATATCTCAATTAAATATCTAGAGGTCAAATGGATAAACTATATAAATAACTCAGTCATGTGCTAACTAGTAATTTACATTCCTGAACATGAGTACTAATAGAATGTAATCAACATGATTAGTTGGATCATTGCATTGTATGCTAACTAGTGCACGTGCGGATATTTTGTTGCATGTTTCCTTATTCAATAAACATATGACTGACATTTTATCCGTTTCATTTTCCAAAAAATTATAGATTTTTAGAGTCAACTGTCAACAAGTGAACTTATTATTGTTTTTATTTATTCAGATTTATATATTCACTATTCCATGAACTGATTGAAGATTACAACATGCCCAGTTTAATGTAATATAAATGTCGCCATAAGCAACAATATCTCAGTAATCTTCATTTCAGTCTTCTAGTTATTTTTAATTTGTCAATATAACTAGAATTTTAAGCCAATAGAAATGTTTAACCGTATCCACCCCATATATTATTAATGACTGGATAACCAATGATTTTCAACTTTGCATGATACCATGATACCGTATGAAATTTTTCTTAGGGTGTGAACTAAATAGTTCTAAATGAAGTGTGTATACACTATACATTTGCGTATTCCATATAATCGTGATAGTGATTAGAGTGGATGATCGCGTGTATCACTTTATGATAGGTGATGTCGAGACTGAAATAATAGTTTCTTTTCATCCACCCTTATTTTGAAGTTGTAGGTTATATGTACTTCTATCTATCTTTCTTAGTTTTCTTGGTTCTTTTTCTCACTGTACATAATTTCTCTCTCCTTTTATAAAAAACTTTCTCTCTTTCAAATAAATGATAAATAGAATTATTTGATAATGGGGGAAAAGTCACTTACTCTAGACCTGTCGACTGTAGGTCATAAGGCGCCAAACTTAATACCTTGGCGACAATCTATCGGCGCCATTAGTCAACATCTAAAGCAGTAGTAACCTTATGAATACATTCTTATGCTATGGAAACAGAAAAGACAAAACTATACAATTTGACGCCGTCAACACTTATATTTCTCAAAACGTCTAACCTTAGTCGTCTATCAATAGAATATTACTTTACAATTTTAAAAATTATTTCTGTATACAAATTTCAAAAAATTTTCGATTATGTATTTGAAAATTTTTGGCAATTAAAATATTATTCTACTAAACAATTTGGATCATATCTTATATTATCTATCAGAAAAACTCTAATATTAAACAGGATATGTAAATGTATTAAAGTAAAGTTAAACAAATCTATTTTATTCATTATTTTTATTAATTTAATCAATAAATTAATTTTTTTAATTATTTATTTAATATTTATTATACGATTTTTATTTATTACTTATTGTAATTCATATATTACTCAATTATCACTTAAGCATTTAATTGATACAAATGTCAATGATGACGACGGTAATGGTGATGATGATGACGATGATGACTATGTTGAAAGGGAACAATTGATTAAGTCATCAATACTTCAATCAAATCAAAGTAAACCAGTGAAATTTTTATCATTACCATATTGCACTACAAATGTATTATCTAAGAAGAATTCAAAGAAGGTTAGAACTCTGTCAAGAGTAAACTTCTTTACATGCCTAATATGGATTATTATAATTGTTTTTTCATGTACTATTAAAACTATTGAAGCAATTGAACAACTACATCATTCAACTCAATTATCAAATGAATATCATTTAATTAATCTATTACAATCATTATCTATTATTGGTAAACAAATGAATTCAAATATTTTAACAAAATCAGAACAAAAAACATGGAATTATTTATTAGAAAAAATAATTAAATCACAAATAAATATGGTAAAAAATAATTTAGATGTCAGTTCAAATACTACTACTACTATAAGTAGTATTAATAGTAGTAGTTCAAGTAGTATTGATAAAAAAGGTTTCAAAAATAATGATAATAATATACAAAAACCATCTAAAGAAGAATTAATAGCTAAAACACCTAATTATATGTTTAAATTACATGAACGTCATATGAATGATTGGTATAGTTTTGGACGTTATGAAACTAATCATTTATTACATCCTGATTATGTGAAATATTTAAATGATAATCCAATGACAACAGATAATAATGAATTATATAAAGAAAAAAAATTAAAAACTCAACATAATCGTCATTATCTTGGTATGATTACAGCAATAAGGCATCATAAACATATAGGTAAGTAATAATGATCGATTATTTAAAATAAATTTTCTTTATCATGTAAAGAAAGGCATACTTTAGATAAACTAATGAAATGAATAATGGCGTGACTTTAAATTTTAATAGTTTAATTCATATGTCTATCTAAGCTAGGTCACCATTGAAGATCAAAATGAGCACTGTTGAAGAGTCTCATACTAGGACGAAACGGTAGTCCAGTGATTCTAGGTTTTCAATGGTAGTCTAGTTAAATTATTTATCTATAAATATTGGTACAAAGGGGTACCAGATATATATACGTCACACAAATCTCATTTGATTTGTGTGAAGGCTGTGATGCTGCCCGGTTGCCCAAACTGAAGCAGGTGGTATTCTTAGGGGGACACATCCTGAGCCTTTGACCTAAAGGTCTCATCCACAAGGCAGTGGAGCATCGTGATGAGATGCAGTCCCATGGTAGCTAGTGGCCAACAACTGATTCATACGCCATTTGTTCCATCAGGATACTGGAGTCTATGTGCACCATTGGTTTGGAATCAGGGTTTTTCAACTCCCCTGGCTGAACTTTCAGTGTTCACCAACCCGGTTAAAGCTCCCAACATTCGCTTTTCGTCTTCTCAATTTCTTAAACAACACCCTCGCTACGAGAAGGCAGTGAGTAGGTCGTACCAGGGCATTTGGGGGGCATGGTGGTTTAGCTTAGATCGACTCATGAATTCAACTATTAAAATTACTACAATTTCCACAAATCCTCATTCTGACTTTAAATTAACTGAATTTTTTTACAACTGTTTATGGTAGTATAATTTATTATAAATTTTATTCGTAGATTGGAAATTGTTTTCAGTATTTTATGATAAATTTAATGTAAATTTCAATCGAAAAATGTGAAATTAATTTAAGGCAATGGTGAAATCATTAGAAAATAATTATGACTAATGTACTTGATTAATAAGGTGGGAGGAGGAAAGGGGAATTAATAAATTCTTATCTTTTTATGGAAAACTCATCATTGACTTATTTACCTGTGAAATGGTGGGTAGTTATTCATTTTGATTGAGAATTTTTTTAAGAATGCTCCATTTCTGTCAACTACTTGATAGAAGTGAAAATCTTCAAAAATGAAGTTTATGATAACTCTATAGCTGGTATAACTCTATAAGCATCAGTTTTAAAATGAACAGATCTTTGTAAATCATCTATATCCGATCAATGTTTGAGTAATAATTATCAGTGCATTTTGAACTAGATTTTCTGATATTTTTATGATAATATTTAATTTATGAAACTGACAAATTACGAAATGGAGTAAAAGTTTACGGATGATTCTAGAGACATATAGCCTACTGATCGAATTTGAAAACTTTAGATAATTGGACTGATAATCAATGGTTCAGTAATATCTTACATGTTGGAAACTCTCCATATGTTTTGGGTTATAACCAATAATTGAGGATCAAATATATAATTCTAAATTAGTTCAAAATACATATTGAATGGTTCCTCGTACTATTTGTTTTTATCAGATCTTTAGCTTATATTAGTTCTTGCTAAAAATCACTTGTGTATTGGATTAAATTCTTATTTTGTTTAATCATCAACCCACTATCATTATGAGTTTAATACAGTTAGCATTAATTTTTTTAATTTGACTGCAAATAATTTTTGTTACGATTTTTTTAAATCTGTTATCCAAATTAACAGCCTATTATAGTCAAGTTTTATGATGAAAAAAATGAATGAAATTTATCTAATTTATCTAATGCTGAACTTTAGCTCTGATGATTAAGTAGAACGAATTTAAAGATTGATGGCTTTATATCTAAATTTTATGGAGATTAAGAACAATATAATTTGGATAGTTGAGATCATGAGTCTATTGAAGCTAGACCACGATAGAAAACCTGGAAGCACTGGACGGCCGTTTCGTCCTATTATGAGACTCCGCAGCAATGAGCATGCACGATTCCTCCTCGCGAGATTCAAACCCAGGGTGCGCACTGCTGAGGAGTCTCACAAAAGGACGAAACGGCCGTCCGGTTGCCCAGGTTTTCCATGGTGGTCTAGCTTCAATTGACTCGTGATCTCAACTATTCAAATTACTATAGTATCCACAAAAATACCCTTTTGATATTAACAATATAATGTAACAATATAATGTAATGTTTATTCTTTTGAGGAATATCTTTTGGAAAAGAAAACTGATGAAACTTAACTCAATTGGTTATATGAAACATAAAAATTTATTATTTGTATGGTAAAGCTGTTTAGTCATTTAGAGAACAAGATTTAAGTTTATATCTTGACGAAATCGGTTTTCTATAAGTAACTGATTTATAACATTGCTGTTTCATGATAAATATAATTTAAAACTTAAAATGATTGTTAGCAACCAATTTATAAGTAAAGATGGATATTGACTAGCAATGGAATCCAGGACGCGCGTTCCGTCCTATTTGAGACTAGTCATCTGAATGTACCTGCATCTCAGAGAAGATGTTCACTCTGGGACTCGAACCCAGTACAGTTCACTCCAAACGCCATCACATTATCCACGTAGCTAATGAATCCTGATAGCCGCCAGCTTGTGCGACGGGGTGAAGTTATATTCACTTGGTGTTGTTTACTTGTATCTTCCCATTGTTATTTCGGTTTACAGTTGGAGCTTATAAAGCTTGTGACTTCTGGCAATATCGAGGCAGTCCTCACAAGATGCACATATGCCAACAATAGACTGATCAATTGGAGTCCTACAAAACAATGGGAAAATACGAGTAAACAACATTTAGTGAATACTAATTTCCAAGTTTAAAATTAACTGATCAATTGTTTTTAAATAAGCGAAAGTTCAAAAACGATTTACTCTTACAAAAGTGATGTATTCACTTGTAATGTTTTCGTATCGACAAACCTATATTTATGCATATAATAAATCAGACAAAAGGTCAATTATTTATTATTCATATTAGTAAATCATTGTTCGAACAGTAAGAAATGAATGGAGTTTTTAAGCATCTATTAATAGATTTCAGTTCAATTTCCACATGAATATATTTAAGCTGGGATCTCTGTTGTGCTTATCAGATGATTTTGTTTAAAAGACGTGGTGTAATCTAGAAACAGTTTGGATTTTTCAGAAAGAATGTGTTTAGATATTTACACTATGTCTGCTATTCGAATACGCATTATTGACTTCCTAGCAGCCCACAATAGTAGAGAAAAGGTTCTAAATAATAATACAAACTTTACTTCAAAGTTTATTTATCGATCTACGGATGGGGTTGGCCTGTTGAAATCATCTGGAAATACGCTAAATTTAGTAACAAAGTAAGCAAATATTCAACCGAATTGTGATAAGTAGTTCTTAGTTCTTCTATTTGTCATTAGGAAGTTTCTGTTCTTCAGTGATTGACCAATCCTTTTCCTAGCTTTCACAGGCATTCTCAAGGAATTATTGGTAGGCCTTCAATAATCCGTTGACTCAGGAACTCAATAATAGTTCTGGCTTTTAAAGGATCTCTTCATTCCTTTACTCTCCACTTATCTTCTACGTCATGAACTCAAGCTCATTCACCGAAAATTTGTAACTTAAGTGATTTGACAGAACACTCAGAAACATAACCACTAAGTCTATTTTTATACCAATGGCTCCTCACATAACTAGGTAGACTCCTAGGATTGATCAACTCGTAGAAACATCATTACTCTTAGAAGTTATATTAACCTTCGAGGACTAACCCACTCAAATGTATACTTTTAAATCAGAAATTTCCATCAGTGTGCTTTTTTTGCAGCTGGATTCATTTACTTACGTTTTCTGGTTGGTTTAGTTATCTTTCAGACGTCGTAATTCAAAATTGCTTATCTGTGTATTTATCCTGTGGATGGTTTATGTTGATTTAGTTCGCTACTCATACCTCTTAAAGACACAGGGTTGAGTCAAAATGATGTAAACTTCTTATCATGGACACTAATATTTGATTTTTGTATCTGAATTCTATGAATCTGCGGTTGCAACATTAAATGATAGTCATGTTAAATTTTCGCGCTCACCAATTTTGACCTTATTTTTGTTGAAAAACCTACATGTTCTTATTTTTATAATGTATTTTATATAAAATAAGTACTTTACAAGTGAAATGGGGACAACTGTACAACCTTCTCTGGCCCCAAGTACCTGACTTTTTTAATATTATTTATAAAGTTAGTCCTCTTCTTTATAAAATCTAGTCAATAATTTAATTTGTTGACAGTTCTATCCTATAAAACTAGTGAACTATAAATTAATTATTTTATCTAGGAAACTGTGACATAATCTTCGACTTTATCCTGAGTATAAATAAGAAATCTTATCTTAATTTGTAATTGTTTGAATTATCCTGTACTTGATATTTTGATTGAAATTTTATCATTCTTATTTGATAGATTTTCACCCTGTGAGGAATGCTTCGATTTGCCTATTATAACACAGACAGAATGTGGCTGACAATAGAGTTCACAATATGCGTCCCATATTATTAAGGACTCGTCATCTATACGTATCCACACCTCCAAGTTGATGTCTATTTCCGTACTCAAACCCAGTATTTTCCGCTTCAAACACCAACGTATTATCCACTTAGCTATTGATTTCAAAAATCCACTTGATTGTAGGCATAGTGGATACTTATTCTTGGATGTAAGTACATCCAGCTGACGACTCTCAAATATGATGAAATGCACACAGTGGATTCTACTGATAGCCACATTCAGTTCATTCTACAGAAATCAGTAATATTTCTGGACGTTTGTCTGTCATTTATATGATTAGAATTATCCTTACAAAATCACTTCTCTAGTAGCGCTATGAGGTTATTTGTGTCTAAATTGTAAGTAATTAAAATCGTTTCTTAAAAATACATGAATTAGAAGTTTTAGTTAAAATTCATTCGTTTGAATGAATTCTGTGTACAGTTATATGTGTATAGTTCTACTGAACAAACAATAATAAATTTATCATATCAAATCTCATTATA